AAAAAAAAAAAATAACAAAGCTGCAGATTAATAAGAAATGCTAGTGCAAATTTAAAATCATAACATTATCAAGATGGTGCAGAGAAATTTAGAAAAACTGATAGGAAAATTTTCTGGTCTGAAAAGCTAATGCTACCTATTATCTCCCCCTAAATATTCTGCTATTGAGCAACTTATTTTTGTTATTAACCTTAAAACATACTAGGAGTTAAGTATTGATGGACAGTTGTGGTGCAGGGGCAGTGTCTTCCAGGTTTCCAGAGATTATAGGCACTGGCTCAGGATGGGACAGAGGAGTAGATGTGCTGTTTTGAAATGGACATGATCAAGAATACTTGGAAATAAACCATTTCCATTCTGTGTGCTGTCCTGATAGATGTGCTGGGATGTTTACTCATAACATACCAAAGTAACTATGTTTACCAGTTAGAAATGGTTTTATTGAGGGCAAAGGAATGATTTTGGTAACAGCAACCACAACAAAGAATGAATCTGAAGCAAAGTCATGAAGATCAGATAAGCTTTATAATTAACAACAGGTTAAAATAAGAGAATAAATTTCATATGTAGTGTATATTCAGATGTATAGAACAACTTAGCAGTTATCCAGAACTTTTATTCCATGAATTCTCAAGCTTCAATTTAACTTCATATTTTTACATTGATCTAGTCATTCATGCATCCAGACATTTATTGAACGCCTGTTGTAAATGAATATCATTTCAGAATTGGGGATGCAAAGATTTGGGACATGACCATGAGATACATTCTAGGTTTATAACTAGCAAATCCCTACCACCCGTCTCCTTTCCTCTTTGATATATCATAAATATAGATGCTACAGACTCCAGTTTAGTGTATCATCTGCTCCCATTGATTTTGACAAACAGGTAGTCCAAGCTCCTTATTCTGTTTGAGCAACTAATTGAGAAAGATGTAAATACTAATCTTGTCACCTGTTTGATCTGTGCTGTTACCAGGCAGCATCCAGAGCTGATGAGTGTCTTTTATTACTTGATGTAAAGAAACTCCAACCTCTGGAGTGTTTCATTAATTAAACTTTTAAAAATAACATAGACACCGTGCTATGTGGGAATAGCTTTAAAAGGAGTGTTGGTGACATTAATTTAAATTTCCATCACATCAGTAGTGGCTTTTTCAAAGATATAGGGCAACTGTAAAACTTGATCAGAATATTTAGTAACACATCTGATAAATAGGATTTGCAGCCCTGGCCAGAATTTGGTAATTGTTGTACATTCTATCCAATAGAAAGCCTTTGAGTAGCAAAGTCAGGTCAAAAATAAAACAAAGAAGTTAAATAACTTCTTAGTTGTTCTTGATTGGAAACACAAATGTTCTTAAGTAAAAATTAGTTCTGTATAGTCCTTGATTAATGCTGCAATTTAAATTGTCTAGCATTGTGCTGCCGCATCTCCGTACCCCAAAAGAAAGCAAATATGTGAACTGTTGCTAAGAAAAGGAGCAAACATCAATGAAAAAACGAAAGAGTAAGTCTACTTTTAGTAATTAAAAATTACTGACACTTTTTTTTTTTTTTTTGAAAATACATTGATTCTCGGCTGACTTTTTCTTTTTAAGATTCTTGACTCCTCTCCACGTGGCATCTGAGAAAGCTCATAATGACGTTGTCGAAGTAGTGGTGAAGCATGAAGCAAAGGTAGACTTCCTTTTTGGTAATCTTTGGTAAACCACTGAGTTATTTTCTGTTGAGCAGATGAAACTCCTGGCTTCCTAAACTGTTTACTCTCTCATAAGTATTACTTTTTTCCTCTTAATCTGTACCTAAAAGTAGTCTAGCAGATACTTTTCCTTTATCTGATTTTTTCCTAGAAAGCCTAAGGATTTACTCAAAAATACATGCTTCCTATATATCCTTCCTTCTCCATTCCTTTTACTCACACCCCACTGGTCTAGTTATCCTTAAGGTCTTTTTTTTTTTTTTTTCTTAAAGATTTTATTTATTTATTTGACAGAGAGAGACACAGCGAGAGAGGGAACACAAGCAGGGGGAGTGGGAGAGGGAG